GTATACCATTTCTCTACCTTTAATTTAAGCTAGCGACCCTCTGCCTAATTTAAATAATAGCCCAAATCCTCCGTCCTTAATCTACTATATATTAAATATCTATTAGATTTGGTGTATAATCAAATTATAATTATGTTTGATAATTATGAGTAAATATTATTTTCGTTTGGTTTAAAATTTTTGCTAAATGTTATATACTCAATTTTTTGTATTAACCTTTCTACTTCTTTCTACGTATTTGCAAAATTAACACTGTCATGCTACATTATTTTTTGCCGATAATTTTTAGTCGAAATGTTAATAAAAACAAATAAATTTATACTACGTGATGTGTAAAAAGTATAGAATTAGAGCAAATAGATGTGAAATCAATTTTAACAAATCATTGTTTGTTTTTGTAAATTAAAAAAAAATATTTCATTAATCGATATTTATAGTTTATATATAAATAAGAACGAAACTTGAGAAATCACTTTTTAATCCAAGTACAGTATAACGCACAGTATATACTACAGTATAGTATATCCAAGCAATTCAAATGACACCTGACATAACCGTCAACAACCAACTATCGTCTTTTAATACCGCCCATAACATCACCCATCTGTTTTCCTGCCCCAATGCATACACAAACTTGAGTTCAATCAATCTTTGGACCCGCCTCATGGAAGTGGTTAGGTTTTCTTGATTCTGGCTGACTTTAATTTAAATCCAACTCATTTATTACCCATTCGCCTACTAACCCATATACACGTCTTTGTTATTCCTTTTATATATAGATCTCTAAGGGATACAACAACAATAACAACATCCGTTTCTTAAAGTCAAATTTAGTTTTATATACTCGTATACCCACAAACAATTTGAAACCTCTTTAACGACATCGATATATCGACACATCGGTTATGGCGACTGTGAAGATTTATTTATTTGAACTTTTTTTTATGTATTTAAATATTTTTAACTTATAAAATTTATATTATAGTAAATTCTATAAAAAAAAATTAATAATAAATCAATAAATGCATTAATATAATAAAAAAACAAAAATAATTTTTAAATGAATAAATTTAAATAAATAATTATTTATTTGAACTTTTTTTAAATATTTTTTACTTATAAAATTTATAGTAAATTCTATAAAAAAAATTAATAATAAGTCAATAAATGCTTTAATAATAATAAAAAATAATAACTTTTAAATAAAAAAATTTAAATTAATAATTATTTAGTTGAACTTATTTTAAATGTATTTTAATATTTTTAACTTAAAAGATATATAGTAAATTCTATAAAAAAATTTAATAATAAATCAATAAATGCTTTAATAATAATAAAAAAACAAAAATAATTTTTAAATAAATAAATTTAAATAAATAATTATTTATTTGAACTAATTTTAAATGTTATTAAATATTTTTAACTTAAAAGATTTATAGTAAATTGTATAGATAAAAATTTAATAATAAATCAATAGATGCATTAATAATAATAAAAAAAAATATTTTTTAAATAAATAAATTTAAATTAATAATTATTTTTTGAACTCTTTTTGTGTTATTTAATTTTAGACTTTTGAAATTTATAGAATACATATAAAGTAATTTTTAAAAACAAATAAAATAAAATAAAAAAATATTTTTAAATTTATAAATTTTCAGAACTTTTTGTTTACAATATATCGAAATTTAAAAATGAACTATTTACAAAACAATAAATTAATACAAGAAAAATTTCCTAAAATCAGATTTAAATAAATAAAACTGATTGATTTGTAAACAAATTACTGAAAACTCAATTTAAATCTAATAGATTTAATGTGCTACTGAATTATTATTTTCTTAAATAATTATGTATGCTTAATATTTATATTTGCTAAATATACACATATGTGTATACAAATATGAACTACTGTTTGTTTGTATGTATGCATGTGTGTGTAAGTTAAAATGTTTATATAGATATCCACAAACAATTCCAAAATAAACTTTTAAAAAGAAAATAAAGGCAACAACAAATACTACCATTCAACTGAAAATACTG